GTGAAAAACTAGACTTGAAGTTATTTCATTTGATAGGTTGTGCATCACATAACACCTTATATAAATGTAGATATGCTCGTCCAAAGTATAGTCTTGAGCGTGCTCATTTAGAATTTTAGTCTATCATGTAATTTTCCAACTTGGCTTAGACTTAGGTCTTTCCTTGGACCCCAAATCACTGGATATGCCTCGTACACTTATTATTATAAACAATTGATAACCATCACATTAATACTCATTTAATGCATCCACAACTACTTCAAATTTACGGGGTGTTACAGAATGTGGCTGGTTTTCTATGGAAAATATAAGCAATTCACAAATTACTTTTTCTTAAAATATTAGAAGAACATTGATCAAATGGTGAAATTATAGATTCAAGATAGAAGAGCAACATTTTTAAATGCTAATTGTTGTGTGGCTTATGAATTCCAGAGCTAGAGTTGTCGTTTATTTCTCTGTTTGCTTGTGGAAGAGACTCCAACAATCTTTAAGAAATATTTTCTCTACGTGTTTTTAAGCCAATTAAGTTTATTTTAATTTTCTAATCTTGTTGTAATCCATGTTCTAACAATTTGAATATAGGTGTCTCTATAGTTTTTATAATGATTTCGAGTGGTGTTCTATCTTTGCCAAATCCTAATATTAAAATATTTAATGATACAGATTTTCCTAGATAGCGTGGAAAGATGAAATTATTTCTATGACGTTTGAAGTTAACATATATTCTTGAACAACTTTGTCCTAATGCTCCTGGTTCAGAGGTAACAACTAATGATGCTACTTTAATTAGAGAACAAATTACTAAGTGGCCAGATGATGATTATTTATGAAAGAATTACGTTCTTGGAGTAATGGTCAACAAATATTATGATCAATATCCTGCCAAGTGCAAATCTTCCAAAGAACTTTACAATATTCTTCATTTATTTGGTAGAAGAGGCGAGCTCAAGGAAGTTTCTTGTTTCAATTTTATGAAATTCTATATTTTGATGACAAAGTCAATCACTAATTAAGTGCAAGAATTTCAATTTATAGCTAAAAAAATCATTATTTCTAGAATTACTCTTGATGAATTTTTTTATGTTTGTGCTATTATTTTAATACTTTCTTTGTCTTGGAAAGAATACAAAAGTAAGCTCTTACATAGGAAGGAAGATTTGACTCTTGAATAATTATTGTAATATTTACAAATTGAACATGAGACTCCAAATCGTGACAATAATATTTTGAAGGAACCTCTCATAAAAGTTTATGTGGTTGAAGAGAAATCACCCAAAAGGGAACCTACAATAAAAAATTCACAAAGGCAAAGAAAAGTAAAAATTTGAAACTTACTAGTGCTAATTCTAAGTTGAATAAATGTTATTACTATAATAAAATTGATTACTATGCTCGTGATTATAAAACAACGAAAGCTGAAAAGAAGAAGAAAAGTTAATAACAATAAAAATATTGAACTTATGGCAATGGTCACAAAAGCATCTGTAGCAGAAAATCAAGTGGAATGGTGGATCGGCATATGTGCAACTCGTTACATATCATGTGATGTAACGGAACGATCGGTCGTTTTACTTATTTGAACCCCGTTTTATTATTTGATGCTTCTTGTATATGTATTTGTTGTTTTGTGACTTGCGAGGATGATTGGTTTGGTTTCAGGAAGGTTTGAGAGGGACTTGAGACACTTAGTCTTAGTTTGGAAGCTTAAATTGTAAGAGTAGACCAAAATTTAACTTTGTTAGACGGACTCGAATTGGTGATTTGAGGGTTGCAATAGGTTCGTATGATAATTTTGGACTTGGGGTATGTCTAGATTTGGATTTAGATGTTCCTAGGATATTTTGTTGTTATTTGTCGAAAATTGGCAATTTAGAGTTTGGAGAGTTCCTAAGTTTGACCAAGGTTGACTTTGATGATATCAAATTCGAATTTTGGTTCCGAAAGTCGGAATAGGTCAGTTTTTTCACTTGGGATCTATGTACAAAGTTTGGATGTAATCCGGATTGGTTAGGATTGAATTGGACACTTGGTTTAAAGTTTGAATTTGATGAACTTAAGAGAAGCTTAGCATGTGTTTTAATTGTCGATTCTTGATTTTGATGTTAGTAGTGCTTCTTTAACATTCCGACAAATTTAGATAAGACATTGAGACTTATTGGTGTGATTGGATGGGTTCTCGGAGGGCTAGGGTTTGTTTCAGATGGGTCCTAGAACATTTTGGTGAAGATTGGCAGTTCTTGTGCTAGGGTGTCGCACCTGCGATACTTTTGTACAGGTGAGAGGACATAGAAGAGAGGATTTGGTTGCATCTGCGACTTTGCGAAAGCGGTATTTGTCACGAAGATACGAGGTTTGGCTGGCTCAAGAGGGAGCATATATGCGAATTTTGTTTTTGCTCTTGCAAAGCCATAAAAGCGGCATTTTCTCCGCACATGCGATTGATGGCTCTATAAGTGAAGCTCGCTGATGCGAGAGCCGGGTCGCAGAAGTGACATTGTAGAAGCGACATTTTGTCAACAAAAACAGAATCCTCTGACAGTTTTATATATTTTGAGGGTTTAGTCTATTTTTTTTATTATTTAGAGTACTTTTGGAGGTCGACTACAAGTTATTTTTGGGGAGAATTTTGCCACCACTTTAAGGGTGGGTATTTTCTAATTGGATTGGACTTTATAACTTAATTTCATATGAATTTCTATACCTAAAATATGGATTTTCAAAGGAAAAAATTGGATTTTTCGTCTACAACTTAAGAGGGTGTAATTTAGGGATTTGAAGGTCGATTTGGACTTGGATTCAAAATCTAATCACATATTTGAACTCGTGGGGTTACGGGCAGTCAGGATCTACCCCCTGACTCGGGTTTGACTGTGTGGGTCCGGGTTAACTTTTGTTTAATTTGGGAATTTGTGTAAAGATTGAAGCTTTATTGTTTGGTGTTGTTTTCTATAGATTTATTTGATATTGTTGAGTTATTTTTGACTAGATTTGGGTTATTTATACTTGAATTTGGATTGTTAAGTGATTTTTGCTTGATTTGAGATTGTCGGGTGGAGGTAAGTCTCTTGTACATCCTTGTAAGGGAAATTTTCCCCGTAGGTAATTTAATTGCTACTTGATACATAATATATGAGTCGTGTATATAAATTCATAGTCATATAATTACTATAATTGCTCAATGACTTAGATGGTTTCTATGGCCTAGTTAACTCATGATAATGATATAATTTAGCTAGAACATATTAAATAGCTTATTGAGCTATTGTGATAAATTGAGTTATTACATGATTTGTCATAGCCATCACTTATTCATTTGAGTTTTTATCGCATTCGTATTATCATATCTTGTTCCCTTCTATTATAATATTTCTTTTACATATGCATGAACACGGAGTGGTTATTTAGAAAAGTTAAGGATTTTGGCACTACGAGCACTTGAGCGAATACTGATATTGGTTATAGGGATGTTATAGTTTGGATCGGGCTTACACGCCACAACCATTGATTGATGATCATTAAATATAAAATGAACGATGCTTGGATTATGGATCTGCCCATCCGGAGTTAGGTGATTTACCTATGTTACCTTGGGCCTTGTGAGCATAGGCACTCGTGATTCTTTTGGTGCTTCTTGGACATGTGACTTGTGTTAGGCATATAAATTCGTGCTGTGAATTATTGAGAGAGAGAGAGATACCGAGCATGCATATTTATATTTGCTCAGACTCATGCTATGAGTTGATGAATGTATTATTGACTTGTATCATGTTTTATTCGGAGATTGGGATGCTGATACCTAATTTGATTAGTTGAAAAGCATGCCTAAATCCGTATGAGCTGCATTTGAGCTTTTATAATTGTTGAGAATATCATGTCTAGTTTCATGTTGGATTATTCTCTCATTTGAATATTGACTAACAGTGAGTGTTAGAGTCGACCCTCGCCACTATTTATTCGAGGCTACACTTGATACTTATTGGGTATCGTGGTTTGTACTTACACTATACATTTGCAACCCGCCTAGTAGTATAATTTGCTAAAAAAAATAACAACTTCCAAAGTAAATGCTGATATTTAGGTAGAATATCAGATTTTTAGTAACAAGTGCAATTTTTTCCCGAGATTTCAAGTTCTATTATCATTTTATTTTTAGTAGTTGTATAAATAAATTTTCTTGTGTGTTATATTTAAAACATTGTGATTCAATTTTGAGCATTTTTTTTTTAATTTAGTTACATAATTTGAGAAATCTCTCATTACATATTTAACAAAATTGATCCTTTATCTTTACAAAAAAAAAAAAGCTTAAAATATTAAGTAAAATTGTTCAATTTGTTTGGATGATGATTGCTGGATCATCACATTTTTGATCAATTCTAGGAGTATCATTAGAATCACATATATAATTGTGCTTATTTTTTGGGCATGAAAACTAAAAAAAAAACACTATTTGTTCACATTTCTAAAACGGTTTAGGAACACTTAAAAGATATGTATTCACATTTCTGAAATGGTTTAGGAAAATACAATCACCCAACATTAATTTTGATGCGTTTGGTTATCTTTTCTCTTTTTAATGCTTAAAGTGCAAGTGTTAAAAAAGGAGTTTTATTTCCATTTCTTATCTTTGAAAGTGAAGATAGTTTTATCTTCTTAGCAACGATTAATGCCACCAAGAGATAATTTTGGTACATTAAATAGATTTTATCATTTTAATTTAATTTTCTGAGAAAAAAATAATTATTTTTGTAACCTAAAAAGAATGTAACAATTAATGTTACCAAGAGATAATTTAGATGCATTAAATAAATTTTATCGTTTTAATTTAGTTTTCTCAGGGAAAAAAGAAATAAAGATTAGAGAGGTAAGCCTCACTCAAATCACAAAAGAAATTTGTGTTATCAAGACATAATATATGATGAGAGATTTCTGAAATATTATGAAAAAGTGTCTTTGCCGTGTCTGTTGCCTTTCTTTTTTCTTTTATTAAAAAATGGTCACACCTTGTCGACATGACAAATAAGAAGCTTAACACAATAATCATTGAAATTATTCTTCTTTCTCTTAAATTAAAAGTTAAAACCACTCGAGGGAAACCAACTGGACTACCATTTTTCTCAATCTCTAAAGCCACATCGTCGGAAATTTCCCATAATCTCGCCGGAAGAATGAGACGGCCGGCGACTATGAACGTCGACGCGATGACTCGGAAAGTCGCCGTCGATAATCGAATTCCTCTCCGCAATTACTATCGAATCGCCAATAATCTCCTCCGACAGGTTAGCTCTTTTCCAATTGATATACTTAGAACTTTCAATTTTGCTTTTAGTTTGTAACTCATTTAATATAAGCTGTTAAAAATGTAATATCTTTACAACTATAACTATAACTATAACTATGCATTCTGCTCTATCTGGGCCAATTTCATTCCAACAATCAAAACCCCTAAATTTGCTTGCTAATATCCTATGCCAAATTGATTGGGTTGAGCCGTTTATTTGATTTTTCAGTTGGACTTTTAACTATTACTTATATCAACTGGTAAAGGAGGAAGCTTGGAGGAAGCTACAACTGTAACTTTTCCTCAAATCCAAACTAGTTAGTTTCAGCTATAAGAATCAACAAAGTTCGATTACTTCGTTGTGACAAGGATAAAGCTGGAACCTTTATCTTGTTATATAGAGGCTATGTGAATTTTCTTTATCGAATTCTTTTTGTTTGATCCATTTCATTCCGATGTGGAGCAAGTCCCAACTCTTTCATTGTTATGACGATAAACCAGATTTAGAGTTATTGTATGGCCCAAACCCTATATTTGTCTTAAAAATTAACTTAATATGTGCAAATTATTAATAGAACCCTGAAACTCCAAAGAGCTAGAATCCAAAACCCATAAACTTCAAATCCTGGATCAAGCTGGAACCTTTATCTTGACAAATAGTCTCTCTTTGGATTGAGTTTTGTGATTATCTTGTGGTTTGTTTACAGGCCAATATTCACCGTGGGGAGAAGAATATCATAGACTTGTATATAATACTAATGAGATATTCAAGGTGAATGATACTGTGCTGCTTTTACTTTATTTTTGGTGGAATTTTTTTCTAGATTTTCAGATACTTTTCTTTTGCTTGTAATAAGTAACTTAATGGCGTTGTTTGTATTATGTATTGCCAGTTTGGTTACTGAAACAATACCCGACCATCGAGACTACCAAGCTTTGCATCCAGAAGAAAGAGCATTATCGAAAAGGGTCAGTGTATCAGTTTATTGTCTTTAATGATCCTCTGTGCTGTGTACTAATCATTCTTCTGGATTGCGAGTTGTTCTTTACGTGATCTGGATACAATTTATGATTTTCTGCATCAACTTGATGATGCTTAGATTTTCAAATTTTGTTGTTTGATTGTCTCAGATGCTCTCAACAGTGCTAGATGAACTAGAGGGTTTAAAACCGGAATTCCAGCGCCAGCGGAAAAGAATGGATAAAGCTCAAGCAGCAGCTCAGACTTCCCAACTTAATAATCAGGAGAACCCTCCCTACAGATCAGTTGGAAATTCTTTAGTACGGCCCTATACCAACAATAAAGCATCTTCTGATTATGACAATAAATGGGTATGTAACTACTTGCTTTTATTTTGAGTTTTGGGGTTTTGTTTGATTTGTTGTATTTTATGCCATCAATTTCTTTCACTTTATTTTCACTTTTTCCTTCTTTAGAAATTAGAATGGAAATAACTTGTGATTTATATATGCTCTTTGCTGTCTCATTCATTAACTAGAGTTTAGGTTAATTTTCTCTTTGCTGAAGTCATAGTTTCATAATTCTTTCTCAGTCTCAGTAAAGGACATTGTTTCTTTACTAGCTTGAAATCCTGTGATTTCATGTCCAGCATATATTTGGTTTGCACGATTTCTCAAGGCCTTCTCATTTGGCCTTGTTTTGCTTTCTACACTTTTTCTCTCCTTATGGACCACGAATTTGTATATGATAAAATTTCAGGCCATCAGCAATGCACCTTCATCTTTGTGGAAGCAGAATAAAGATTACTCTGGTGTTTCATCCTCGAGTTTGATCGATATGCAGTTCCAGAAGCTGTGAGTCCAAATTAAGAAAACTACCAATGTCCTTTTTTTTTGTGGTTAAGGGGGAGGAGGTGTGTTCCAGAGGATGGAACAATATCTTTAAATAACTTATTCGTCTTTGTTATCCAGTATCCTTGCTGTTTAGGCAGATCTCGTGCAGAATTGAAATTGGTTATTAAGTTACTTTTCCTAAAGGGTTGATATCATCGAGTTATCCTCTTAATACTGTCAGTTATTCAGTCTATCTGCAAAGTTCTTTTCGCCTAGGGTTTAAATTTTTAGCAATTAAGGTACTTTAGAGTACCTGGTTTTAAGCTTTGCTGGTCATGGTGCAGTTTTACAGCTTGCTATGAAATTCATGTGTTTTAAATTTTCCTGAAAAAGTTTTATCTGGGTTAAGAGAATTTCTTGCTCATGCAATATTGTTGTCATCAGGAAGAAGTGTGTGGAAGTATCACTTCTTAAGCAACACAACTAGTCCCTGTATTTTCGGCAATTTAACTTCTTGATTATTGTGCTAGTCAAGCATGGACATTTTAATTAAAACGGTGCGAGTCTTATTTTCTTCATGAAGTTGTGCGATTCCTCTGAATGTCTGTTGCATAATAGTGTGCATGATAACAGGAAATTTCTTAATTACCTGATGTATAATCTAACTGATTTTTGTATAAACTTATTGTCAGATCTCTCAATTTTCCTGTTCCAAAGCAAGAAACACTGTCAAGGCACTCGCTTTTAGGCCCAAATGGTCTTCATGGTCAATGGTCCGGACCTAGTTCCAAGATAAAGGTATTGTTGAAGTTAAATGGTAGTTTCTTATCTTACTATAAACTTCAGCCTAAATCAACTGTCATAATTTGCTTTCTCCAGGTGAATTACCCAGCATATGCCGATTTAAGTTCAAATGAGCTTTTGAGGTTAGGGCCTTTCCAAAGATTGGTTATTGCTAATTCGGCCTACTCTGATGTCTTGCAAGAGAGTTAATTAAATCCGAGTGTCACTATTCCACAGACATCTAATTTGTATGTTCTTAATTTTCTGTTTCTTCAAGCTGCTTTGGTACAAAATTTTGAATGTTGTCGTGCTATTTTTATAGCCTCAATCAGGTTGCTGATGATGGCTCATTCATGTCTAATGACACTGGCTTGAAGGTGGATAAGTCTCCTATGGAATCGGTTCTTTCTTTGGATGATGGACGGTGGTTACACCCTTCTGAGGATTCTTGTTCTCCATTTTTTGATGATATGCGGAGTGATCATATTCCTTTAAGTAACTTAAGGCAGCCTTCGCCGCCTCCCGTTCTGGCGCAAATACAACAAGAATTTCATCCCATATCTCCATCCAAAGTTGCAGATCCAAGACCTGGACCAGCTAAGTCCTTTCAGGATGGACCACCTGGTTCAAACTCTTATCAACATTTGCATGTTGTAAGTTGTTTTTATTTTACTTCATTTAGGTTCCTGTATCTCTGACCCATAAAATCAGAGAGCAACCTTCATCTTTATAGAAATTGTTTGAATTGGAGGATTTTTAGCCGTTTATCGATCAGCTTTGCTTGGTATAATTTGCATGAGTATAACCCTCGTTATTTTTCTTTTACACTGCAGCCAGTGAGACTGATGGAAGATTTCTTAAGATTAGCTCGAGAAAATACAGCAAAGAATTTAGAAACTTGTGCTGTTCTTGCAGGTTCACTGGTATGGAGCAAAATGCTTGGTCTGAAATTTATAAGCTCTATTTATCTGTTGTCTCATATGCGTGGTGTTTTTGTTGTGTATTTCTTAACTTGCAGAGGAACCGTGTTTTTCACATCACTACTCTTATTGTCCCAAAGCAGGAGTCAACTTCAGATTCTGTAAGATGAATTTTATATTTCATCTACAGGGATATACTAGATTTATGCTTGAACTTTACCCCTAATATTCAGAAAGCAGAACTGACCGTCCTTTAGGACCGGAAAAGTATAAGTGCAGCATTGAAGCGTCTTTGCATCTTGAATTTGAAAAAGATGAACCAAGCTTGTAAATTTTAGGAGCTTTGTCTCTTTGGGATTACTTACGAAATTTATACTTTTATATTTAAATATCCTGAAACATGGTGAATTTCTGGAAAAAAGGGCTCATTGTGTTTTTTGATTCCCTCTTTCATAATAAAGCATAGGAGAAAGGTGAGAAATATTAACATTAGTTGGTAGTTTCTGCATGTGCTGCATATATAAAAAGGAACGAAAAATCTTATAAGTTTATGCTTTGCTGCTTTAAACCTATAAAGAAAATAGTTCATACAAGTCAAAAAATACAACAATTAGATATGCTTAGGAAGTAATGCTTTTGACATCATATGGAATGGTTTAACCTTGTTTCTGAAGCACTGCTTTTGATATCCAGTGTTCAACATTGAATGAAGAAGAAATTTTTGAGGTTCAGGACAAGCTCTCTCTCTTTCCTCTTGGTTGGATACATGTAAGTGTCACTAGTAGCTGTGGCTATATTGCTTGGTCAACATCTGTGTTTTACTATTGAATTTGAAATTTTGACCAACGAAGTGCTTATGTTGTGTGTGGAATTGAGATTAGTAGATGAATATAGAAAGGATTAGTGGATGAATATATTTCAGCTGACGTTATGTTTTGCTTCTTTCGAATTGTTTGGAATCTGTTTTATTGATGCCTTCATATACAACATGTACTTCTCTGTCTCTGTCTTGCACAAATTTCCAGCGATGCAACTCTCCATCTATACTTAAAGACTCAAATCCTCATTGTAACCAATCAAATGTTTTTTTTTTTTTTTTCATTTTATCATTGTTTAATTCTAAAGTTACTTCATTTGCGTTGCATAATAAGGGAACTCTCACACGGTATGTTGACATGGTTGATGGTTCTAATTTACTTATTTAAATTCCAAAGATATTGTGGTGATGCTAGTGACAATTTTATATTTTTGAAGAATGTTGGCTGTGCATGAATTTCATTATTTTGTGAACAGTTTAGTGGTTACTTTTGCTTGATTGTTCTATGATCTTCTTATATCTTGCCTTTCTCAAGTTTTCTTGATCAGCTGCATATAATGGTAGTAATTAGCTATAAAATTAGCTGCATGTAATGATAGGAAATTAGCAATACCAGACTAATTTGTCTTTAATGATGTAGTGTCAATTATTCTTTGTTTTTCTTTGACTTAGAGGTCATTTCATGTGATATTAAAAATACGATAATAAATAATCCAGTTTGCATAGTTTTGGCCTTCCATTTTGGTATATACTCTTGGTTTTTGGGTTAGACTCAGATTCTTTCACATTGTCCCACAGAGCTTTCTTATTTTACTTTCTCAAATGTAGATCATTAGATACTCTCTCGTTCTCTTCCCCTTCCATATTCTAAGCGGTACCTCAAGCAAATTTGTTTCTTGAACTCGTAACTCTGCATTAAATTTCATGTGTGAAACACACAAGGGTGTGACCAACCGGTCAATGAAGTGGGTAAAAGATATGGGAGACTAGGGTTTAACTCCTAAGTCCTAACAGAGAAAAAAAAATGTTTAAGTGATTATTTCCCATTTGCCTCAGTTTTGGTGGGCAGTGTTATCATGTACTTGTGTTGGTGGGAAGTAACATGTATACGGTGAAATCGTTGAGGTGCATGCGAGCTGGCTTGGATATTGCCGTTATTTGAAAAAATTCACATGTGAACCTTAAACTCGAGTTACACATGTTCGGAGGTATGAGCTAGATAGTGCCTCGCATTAGGTATATAAAGCATCTAAAGGGGTTTATAAAGGTTTTGAACACTCTACCTGTAGCCTTGAGGTTTTGGATTGGGTTTTCAGCTTCTTTCATACTCTTAGGGGCTGTTTGGTTTGGATTGTACTAGATATAATCTTTACATAAATGTCAACATAAGTTTGGTTGCTCCTTTTTGTTTTCCCCATGAATAATACTTGCATAACATAAGTTTTGTGGGAATCTAGGTATTACTTTGTGTTCTTGAGCCGAGGGTTTATCAGAAACAACCTCTCTATCTCTATGAGGTAGGGGTAAGGTCTGCGTACACTCTACCCTCCCCAGACCCCATTTATGGGATCAAACTGGATTATTTTTTTTTTTGTTGTTGTTGTATTACTTTGTGTGAGATATAATGTGGAATAAGAATGTGAGTATTAGTAATGCATGGATTAAAATGCTAAAATGACCAAACTATCCCGCGTACTAATCAGAAGATTTTAATTTTGTTTTTAAAAGGTAAACAAATAGTTTAAAGTATACATTGTATACTAATGTGCAATATATCAAGCTAAACACTCAATAAGTAATTATACAGTCCCTTCATTACTAATTCCCCCATTATAGTACTTGCGTTACTAATCATTGCATTATTAATCTTTTCATATTTTGTCTCAAAACCTAACGTCAATGGGATTTGATCCTAGTTGGAAGAGAAATTACCAAAGGCCTAGCACTCCTTCACGCTAAGCGCCAATGAAGTTCTTATTTGAGTGAAAAAGAAAAATACTCTCTTTCATATACGTCAACAACAACATACCCAGTAAAATCCCACTAGTGGGGTCTGGGGAGGGTAGGATGTACGCAGACCTTACCCCTACCCTGGACTCTCTTTCATATCTATTTGAAAAAAAAACAGAGACTACTCTCTTTCACATTCAAGAAACAACTCCCAAAGATTCTTTCGTCGGGAAAGATACCGGAGCTTTTGGATTCAGGAAACAACTCCCAGAGATCTTTTTTCTTTAGGAAGATATAGAAGCGAAACAATCAACCTTTTGACACTTTATTAGGATCGAATTAATATTAAATTATTAATATCAAACAGAAATCTAAATGGGGCGTAGTCAGCGAAGGACAACTCAATACCCTCATTGAGGTTAAGTGGTAAGGCAATGGGTTTTGGTCTCACTATTCGGAGGATCGGCATGTAACTTGTTCATATGTCATTACTTGTTATGAAACTCATGAGAATTTTTTATTTCATAATTGGCTAAAATCTAGGATGTTGAAAGAAAAGGATGAATCATATACATACAAACTTGCAGAATGATGTAAATGCACCACCTAAGTTGCTTGACTGCTCGTATCTTGATATGTTTAGTACCGTTGTCAATGAATTGTTGTGTTTCTTATTTGTTTGCAGACACATCCATCACAAACCTGTTTTATGTCATCAGTTGACCTGCACACTCATTACTCATATCAGGTAATAAGCAATGTTCTTGTGTTATTAACCTCTGGATTTCTATGGACAGGATCTAGATGTCTTTTTGTTTTTCTTGGGAATATATTGGTGCATATAGTTTTCAAATTGTTGAAGTCCATCCACTCAAGTCTAATGGTGAAATGATAGAATGTAACTTTACACATATCTAACAATTGGTGGTTTCTTATTGAGGTGTGTGCATTAAGCACCTTTTACTTGTGTCAGAAGGCTTTGCTATAGATTGTAAATCTTTTTTATTACATGAGAAGAACGTATGTGAAATTATCTAATCAAAGATGTTCATTCCGTGTTCATAAAAAGGAGAGATGGTTGGCATCTCCCCCGGCAGGGACGGGAACAGCCTTCGGGCTTTACCTGTTATCAGACACATCCGGTCTTTTCGTCTTTCATGAGCTGAGGGTCTATCGGAAACAACCTCTCTACCTTCAAGGTGGGGGTAAGGTCTGCGTACACACTATCCTCCCCAGACCCCACTTGCGGGTACATTGGGTTTGTTGTTGTTAAAGATGTTCATTCCATGGGATGAAAATTGATTTTTGACTGTTCTTCACCAAAAGTACTTTCTTTTGACTCTTGACACTGTTTCTTCCGGCTCATTTTTGTAGATTATGTTGCCAGAAGCCATTGCAATAGTGATGGCTCCTACAGACAAAGCGAGGTATGATGCCATTATGTCTCTGGTATTGCTCAAGTAGCTGTTTAATTGTAAAAAAGGTTCCGCTGTCCCATTTTTTTTCTTTTAATATGATTTCTGATATACATTGTGAACATACGCGCACACACACACTTCTCTCTCATATACATGTAATGTATATGAGTGCTCTTATATTTAGATTTGCATTTTGGTTTCTATATTCAAATGCGCAACGGTATCCGTAGTGGAGTTTTTTTCCTAAATAATTCTATTTTGATTCTTAATTCCAGCATTTACCGGGGCTGAGGGCTAGAGCTCCCTGCATTCCACAACTGAAGTGGAGGGTTCAAATACCNTCACTTCTAAAGAAGTCACTTAATTATTGAAGGACTTTAACTAGAGTCAAAATTCTGATAATTCTAGAGTACTAATAAGACCTATAAAGTTGAAAGAGATACATAATCATATACCATACATTATTGAAATGTTAGAAAGGCCACTTAATGGATACTGATTGCAGTTTCATTTCTTGTGACAGCCCTCATGGTATATTTCATTTGTCTGATCCTGCTGGTGTGTCTGTTATCCGGAATTGTCAGCAGCGTGGTTTTCATCCTCATGAGGAGCCTGAGGATGGAAGTCCAATATATGAACACTGTTCTCATGTCTATATGAATGCAAACATGAAGTTTGATGTTATAGACCTTCGTTAACCTTGCAATTTTATGAACCTTGGAAGGGCATATAGGAGTAAATGTTACAGAGATGGTTGTATAGAAGCTTGATGTTATATACCTTGTATATTCATTCACAGGGATCCAAGAATACAAGCTTATTTCAGATGAGCGATTGTATATTTTGTTTTTCCTTCTTATCTTAAGAATTTTTTGTTATACATTAGGAATGAGGGCTTTTGGTTTCGCAATTCACATTGTTTCTCTAGACCATATTGCCATGAATTTTATGATTCATGATAAACAGCTGTTGTAACCTGAGCAATCTAATGGAATCTTTATCAATCTTTGCAAGGCTTAAATTCACGTGTGCTTTTTGACATTTTGGAAAAAAGCTACCAGTGGATAATCTTTTGCTAAACGTGATTTTTAGAGTTTTTAGACTTTACTTTGTTTACCATATAGTTTTAGTGCCAGTTTGTCAAGAAGTTATAAGATGCATTCGCAAAGGTATAAGATTTTAAAATAGATTGGTAAACTAGTAAATAGACACTCAAATGTAATTAACATTTGTGTTGTAGGTTTTCATTTTTTTTTATGAGCAAAACAAACGATTTTAGTGATGCTGCCTCCAAGCATGTACTCAGTGTAGGAAGTCTAAGGAATCCAGAATGCTATCGGTTTATAAAATTCAAAAGAGATGGCTTTAAACATGTGCGTCCTCCGCTCCTTTATATTTCTTCTCAAGTCGAAATTCCAAATTCATTCCCAGTGATCATTTTGTCTTCGCGTACAACATAAAGATCTCATCACCATCCATTTTATTGTTAAGAATAAAAGAAGAAAGATTACGATTGAAAAACCATTGGTATTTGCTGCGAATATCATTATTCCATCTTTCCAATTATGATTGATTTGATTAGCTTCTTCCCTGGTGCTAACAGTTGTTCTTCATTCCATATCTACCTTTGAGTACTTTCCAGAACTCGTTATCTTCTCTATATCTTTGAACACAAGATTCCTAATGCATAAGCAGCTTTATCACCACCAGTCCTATAATATCGCAAATAAAAATTCCTTCGCCTTCGCTCAGTTCCTCCTCCTTCTGATCTTCCCTCTTTAAAACACCAGCTAAAGTCATTCCTCCGTGTGACCGAGGCTTTGAGAGGAATGAGGAAGAAGGGAGACAACCTCTGTGTGAGGAATGCAAATAAAAAAAAAGAGGCAAAATATATAAATGACCCCTCTAAGTTATCCACAACGGTCATTTAAACACCTCAACAAACCTATTTATCAACTAGACACCTCAAGCTATTTTTTAATGTGTCTCTCAAACCCTTCAAACTGACATGCAAAATGTGTGGACTACACTCTGTTGCAGCAAGTGAAGCCTTTCAAAATTGTGTTTATTTTTTTTTCTTTTTTTAATTTAACCGGTGGAGCCCACTTATCCTACCCCTTCTTCTCCAAAATTTTCTTCCACTATCTTCTCCACCTTAACCCACTAATCTCAACGCCACACTTCACCATTAAAAGGAAGTCCCAGCATAATTAAAGTTAGAAGAGCAGCAGCAATCACAATTTCAGAACAAGATGGCAAACAAAGAGAGAACAAAGCATAGCTAGTTCGCTGACTGTTAGAAGATATTTCTACTACCAAACAAATTACACGCTTCAACGGAAAATGTGCAGAGAACATATCAAGGAAAGCAGATAATACGTAGTTTAGACAAATAAAATAGACAAGATCATAAGTTTCAACGGGAACTTCGCCCAAAAAATCATCCACTGCTGCCGTCGAAGTTGGTCACCGGATGGCTGGCAGTCACTTCTCTCTCCTCCCTCGTCCCCTCTCGTCTGCCTCTGCTTTGCCATCAAACCTGGTCGGATCCGCCGGAAAAAAAAGGGAAACACCGACGACCACCATTTAAATCGGTTGGTTCCAGCTTGAAACCTTCAGATTTGCCCAAATCTGACTAAAAAGGGAGAGGAGGGGTCTGATTTGGTTTTTGCTTTTTTATTAATATTGTGTTTCTCTTTTCCTTTTATATTAATATAATAAGTTAGATTTTTTTAAGAAATTACGGGTGTTATCTTTTGATTTGTTAACTTTCCATGTAAACCCAGGCACCAGTGTGCATAAGACACATTAAAAAATAGCTTGAGGTGTCTACTTGATAAATAGATCTGTTGAGGTGTTCAAATGAACGTTGTGGACAACTTGGAGAGGCCATTTATGTATTTTGCCAAAAAAAAAAAAAAAGCTTACAATAGAGAATTCGTGGAAAATGGCGATTGGATCGGCAGAAACGTCGGGAAGGTTATGAGATTTCTTTTTTAAATCTGAAAATATTAGACTTATATAGGTTGAAGCTAAAGTGTAATAAGTAAAATATTAGGGATAAAGAATTTTTCCCCTTAACTTTATAATTCCGTTTAAGCACTAATTAAGCATGGAGGTCCATCATA